TGCTGAAGGTCTGCCTCAGATGGAGCAGGCTCGACTTCAGCGGTCTCCTCAGCCGGAGGAGAAGGAGGAGGGTCAGTGGGCTGAGGAGGAGCAGTGAACCCAGCACGACGAGCACGGTCATAGACACGCACCAACATGCGAGCGTGCTGCAAGTGCTCGAGGGGCTCTAGGTAGCCTCCTCATCAGGGTAACCCTTCCAACGTACGAGATACTCGACGTGGGGAGGGTTGTCGTCGGTGACTCGGCGACCAATGATGTCTGAAACGAGGAACTCCTCATGGCCGTCCACCATGATGGGTGGAGGGCGCTCGTATGGTCGTCCAGCGAAACGCTCAGACGGTCTGCGGTAAGGACGCAGTAACGAGACGTGGTAGACATCATGCACACGAGCCTAGCGTAGGTAGTCGGGCAGCTTCACACGAAAGCTGACCGGGCTAGATGCCGTATCAGAACCGACGGCCTGGAGGATGCGGAATGAGCCAAAGAAGCGACGCCGAAACTTGCGAAGCGTGTCCGCTTCGAGCTGTAAGTTGCGGGCGTCGATAAGCATATCATCACCGACCTTCAATGGGTGATCCATCCTCGATCGGTTCGCACGTGCTGCCATGCGAGTCTGGGAAGCGGCTATGTGCTCATGTGCGGTCTTCATAATCGACGTCATGTGTGCAACCCAATCATCCASCGCGGGACAACTCGTGTCGGGGTGCATCTGGGACGGTCGAAGGAAGTCCGCGGGAACACGCGGGTGATAGYCGAGGTCGCAATAGTAAGGCGACATCCCCGTGGCTGGCGAGACGGCGTGGTTGTAGGCTATCTCCGCGTGGGCAAGATGGAGATCCCAYTGCTGGTCGTCACGAACAATCTTTCGGAGAATATCCCCGAGAGTCCTGTTCGTGRTCTCGGTCWRACCATCMGTVTGAGGATGGTAAGACGAGGAGAAGCGGAGCTGAGTGCCGTACACCTCGTGGAGCCGTCGCCAGAATCGGCTGGTAAAGCGCGGGTCACGGTCAGATATGATGCTCAGAGGTAAGCCGTGGTCACGCACGACTCGGTCAAATACGATCTCGGCGACCTCACGTGCACTGATGGCATAGCGGCACGGAACAAAGCGTGCACGCTTCGTGAAGCGGTCGACGACGACCAGGATAGCATCATGACCGCGGGGGGTCGGAGGTCGAAGAGGACCGATAAAGTCCATCGAGATGGACTGCCAACGACCCTCAGGGATAGGAAGAGGCTGAAGCAAACTATAAGGTAGGTGGTTCGCACTGTTCACCTCCTTACAGGTGGGACACTCTGCGACGTAGTCCTTCACAAAGTCCTTGCGCTTCGGCTAGACGTACAGGCGGCTCACACGAGCCAACGTCTTGTGGAAGCCCATATGACCGGCAGCTGCCTGGTCATGAAACTCTGCTACTGATCGGAGACGTAGCTGTCTAGTGGAGGGAACACAAATACGGGGCTCTCTGGTGCCCTGTGAACCGTGCTAGTACACAAGACCGTTGTCCCCGAGAGAGTAGTTCGGGACGGTCTTGCCACCTTGAACGGTCGCGTGGATGTTGCGATAGTCGGGGCAGTGGCGGTACTGAGTGCGAAACTCGTCGATCACCGAGTGGTGGACGGTGCTGACCGAGATGGAAGAGAGCTGGATGTGCTCCTGGTCGTGGTCAGGGCGTCGGGATAGGGCATCGGCGACCCGATTAGTCTCACCCTTGATGTGCTCAGTGGTGAAACTAAACTCGGATAGGTCGCGCCACCAGCGAGCCTATCGAGGAGTGAGCTTCGGCTTTGTTAGAAAAGCTTGGACAACAGAGTTGTCCGTGCGCACCGTGAATGGTGCCCCGTGCAGGTAGTGACGCCAGTGCCGAGCGGCATAAACTACTGCGAGAACCTCACGTTCATCAGCAGTGTAGTTTATCTCGGCGGGCAGGAGCTGACGGGAGTAGAAGGCTATCAGACAATCACCTGAGCGAGACTCGACAGTGCCGTCCTCGGCGATGGTAGGAGAATAGTCAATAGAAGGCTCGTCAGTAGCTGGACGAGTAGGCGTCA